AACTATTTTTCTATTTTTTTAAGAATATAGCATCAGCACACTTGTAGGAGAATTTTTGATAGTGATATAAACTGGCTGAAAACCTGACACTTCATTAATAAATAGCTATAGTACCTCATATACTTCAAATGTGTACATCCATACAAGTTATATGTGATATAATTTAATTGTTCTTTCCTCTGTTCTTGCATTATTACTAAATAATTAATCAAGTAAAACATTTGTTGTCAGATGAGAAATTGACAAATTTCTGTTTGGTCGATTAAGCAGAGACAAAACTACAAAATTATTGATACAGAAATTTCAGTCCTGTCTAGCTCCCTTTGGGTTTCCTCACTTTTAATGCACTTCTTTCTTCTATTGCTGTTTTTAATTCTTATATAAATAAATGTAACAAAGTAGAATGAAGTAAGAAACTTAATATGGTTGAAAGGATGTTTTCATTTGGCACTATAGGCCTGATCTTCAGCAAACAAATAAATAAAATAACATATAAACTGATCGTCAAACAGCATAACCAAACTGTTTTCAATTACCTTTTGTATATACACTGTCATTAGATGTCATTATCAATAGAAATTAGTATGAGAAATGTTTATCATAATATTTGTTCTTCGTGCATGTTTTTTTTAAATAGTTATTATTTTGCTGATGTACTCTGCAGTAAACGTATGAAACATAAACTGTAATTTGGACTGTTTTATGCTAATTCTTTACTTCTTTACTTTTGATTTGTCTTAGATTTTTGTTTTTCTCTTTAATCTTACCTTTCTTTTCTTCTTATTTTCAATTATGTGAAACTTGCAATATTACTGGTCTGGATTAAGCATTCAATAAAGTATGCCTAAATTTATACGTTAGGCAAGATAATGCTACTGCATAACAACTACTTATACTATGTACGGACCTCAATATCAAATCCTGATTTTAATTTTCCAAAAAAGGAGATACAAGTAAATCAGAAATGAGCAAGTCAGTTCCTTTGTGAGTTACTGTAACTTATGGCATCTATCACTACCTACAACTGCTAAACATAGATGGACTTCTAGGAGGGTTCATGTACATTATAAAAAGTGCATTCCTGGAACTAACACTAGGGAGTGTGTACCAATCCCATTTTTTGCAGTGACTTGAAACATCTACAGTTGATTATTAAATGTTATTTCAATTATGCCGGTACAATAAAAAGGAAATCATTTGACATAAAAGATTCGCGTCCATGTTGAATGGGCTTTACAATCTCTCGCCTTCGGCTCGAGATTGTAAAATCCCATACCACACGGCCGCTCATGTTGTAAACATTACAAATTTAACACCGTAAAAAAGTAGGTGAAATAACTTTCTGTGTTTCTAATGTAATTACATATTGGGATACCTTTGGTGAATAAATTATTAAGTTGGAGTTTGACCAAACACTTGTGAATGTTATCTGAACACAATAGTTTCAGGTCGGAGTAAAGAAATGGAAGTGTGAGTTGATATATTCTATGACAATTATACCAAATGTCACGTCAAAGATCTGATTAGGTCAAGCAGCAGATTTGTCCCAAACTGCTATTGCCCTATCACATAATTACTTCACACCAAAACATTCTATTGTTTTAACGCTAAGGATTATGGTCGCCCGAGGGGATCAGAGTGACTGCAAATCAAATAAAATGTAGATGAGCAATCATTGATAAATATTTTACATTAAAACTCAATACACAAAAGTTCTACTTTCGGAAAAAAAGTTTATAAGGTCAAAATTTCGAGTCTTTCTGGTCATCTATCCACAATGTAAACATACTGTGACGTCATTATGCCATAGGCCAATTGTTTTATGCAACTTTCATTAACATCAAAAATAAATTTATTGATTCTTTAAGGTTATGCATTTGTATT